GGCTTCCCCGCGGCTGGCCCGAACAGCACCCCTGGCGTCGGCGCCGTCGCTCCTCCTCCGACCGCCGTGGCAGCCGCCGCCCCCTCCGCTGCTGCGGCCGCCGGAGGCGGTCCTGGTGGCAGAGGTGGCTGGCCGCGGTGTTCGACACCCGCCTGGGCTAGGGCATACAGCGCCTGGTGCATCGTCGGCTGGATGGTCCCCTCGATCGGTGGAGCTGGGGGCCACTGAGACGCCTCTGCCGCCGCTCCCCACAGCGCTGGCTGCGGCTTCGATGCGGGTTGGTGCTGCTGAAGGTGCGGAGGAGGCGCCTTCGCCACCGGGGGGCTCGCCGCGGCCTGGGCGGGCCCGAGACTCATCGGCGTCGGCAGCCCACGCAACGCCGCGAGCACCTGGTGCTGCTGGTCGTCCGAGGCGCTGCTGGCTCCGTGCGACTGCTGGGGCATGGGCACGTCGCTGCCCGCCGCCGCCGTCGCCTCGCTGTGTGCCGCCGAGCCGGCTGCTCCGGCTGAGGGCTCGAACACCTCCGAGGACACCTCGGAGTCCTCCTCTCTCTCGGCGTGGCGCTGCGCCAGTAACTCCTCGGTAAGCTGCTTGGCCACAGGCTCCTTCTTCTGGCCTCCGACAACTGGGCGCGCGCCGAGAGCCATCACCATCGCCACACGAAACATGAACATGGAATGAATCACCCAGGATTTGACTCCGAAGGTGATCGAGATTGGAAGCTTGGAATCGCCGAAACGAATTTGAGCCCAAACTGGCCGCGGAAATCACCGAGACAATCTGAACCCACATGGTTGCCGCCGAGAAACCGAGAGCTCCGAGGTCGTAAATGGCCCTGCCCACTGATCTGAGGTCGAGGGCTCTGGTCGTCTCGCTGGCCTGGCTCTGGTGGCACTCCTCATCCCTAGCTTCTCCGCGGGATCCCGAGGCCCGGACCGTCGCTAGTCTGCTCCGCTGAGCTCATGGCTGGCGCTGGTCGCTAAACTCGAGCTCGATCGATAAGCGTCGTCCCCAGGCTCGGCCCCGGAGTACGGCACTGCACTTCATTCGATTGAAGCTGAGGGGGAGGAGGTAGAGGACAACCCTGTCAGCGCTCATCTCCCCGCTGGCGCTCATCACAGGTGGCGATTGCCCAGCGGCCAATACAAAGGAAGACGCTGTCAGAAAAGGATACTTCCGAAGCGCACTGTCTGGGGTAGCGTGGCCCCCCCTAGTCTCCCGCACGATATCGGCCATGCGGTGACTGGAGCCCAGCTTGGTGACAGGAATGCCCTGAGCTAGAAACTGCGAAATCAAAAGGTAACGGGGAAGGTCGAGCACGCAGCCTAGGAAATCCAGCAGGTTGACACTCAGTATATGCGGAACGTCCTCGCTCAGCACCGCGGCCTCCGCAACTCCCATCACTCCGCCGAGGCGCATCGGATACAGGATGGTACAGATCACTTTTGCCTCGCCTCCGATGTCATGCGCCTTCTTGGGCGCCTTGAACTCTCCTGGCACTACTGCGTAGCGAAGACCGTGACGAGCCAGCGCCGCGGCCTCTCGGTTCAGCGATGGCAGTCCCACTATGTCACTGCCGGCCCCTGGGTCCACGAGGCCCTGCGTCGCAGAGGCGTTGAGGTAGACCTCGATGGCCTGCGCCTCGTTCCGGATGCCCTGCAGCTTCTCGAGCTCGTCGTTGCCCATGATCGGATAGCTGCAGCCGTCGAACGTGTGCCCAGCCAGGCCTCGCTTTGACCGATCAGGTCCCTTGCCGCTGTCCTTCTTCCGCGGCTGAGGACACCCCCGTGACCAGTGGCCGTTCTCGTTGCAATTCTTGCAGCGGGTGACCTTCATGAGCCTGAGGATCCTCTGACTCGTGGCGCCGGTATCCTCCGGCCTGTCTCCTCGGCCTCGGCCGCGCGCGCGGCCTCGGCCGCCTGCGCCGCCTCGACCACCGCCACCACGACGTCCGTCGTCGTCACCCCGGCGAAGTCGTGCACCGTAGAACTCGCGGTCCTGCTTCGCCGCGCGCTTCAGGTCCTTGTTCTGCTTCCAGGACCTGCGCTGCACCTTGCCTGTCATCTGCACGAAGGCCTCGGTGGCATCGTCCTCGTCGAGATCCAGATCCTCAATCTCCACCAAAATGGCCATGAGGTCTGTCTCGGATAGCTCCTCGTCTTCGTCTGGGTCCTCTCCCGACTCGTCGTAGTACGATTCTTCGTCCTGTCGAGCGGTCCCGGAGCCCGAGACCTGGTAAGCCTGGGAGGACGGATGAGGAAGAGGGAGAGAGCTGTGGCCCCGCCCGTCCTCGCCGTCTTCTGCGGCCAAGACTGGGTGCGAGGCACTGCTGCCAGGCAGCAGCTTCTCGCCGCTGCCGTAGTCGAGCTACCTGAGAGCCCAGGCCACGCCCCTGTAGTCCAGGCCGCCCTTGGTGAGGGCGCGCAGGTTCTGTTGACCTTGCGCGCTCAGTCCTGCACCCTCCTCGAGCATGAGACCCATCATCTTGTCTGACATCCATATGTCGCGGCTCTCGGCGTCGGTCATCTGCTGATCGCGCCTCGCCACGAACTGCTTGAGGCTCTCCTTCGAGCCCTTCGTGCACTCGAGCAGTGCCCTGCGACCTGCTCGGCGCATGTCGTCGCCCTCTCGCTGGCCGCTCATGAGGTCCATTCTCTCGAGGAGGGTGTCCAGCCAGGGGGGGCCGCACAGCACGTTCTCGCTAATGTCCTCGAACTTCGCCTGCATCGTCCAGTCGAACAGCTTCAAGAAGCGCTCCGGCCGCCTCCACAGCTGCACGTCAGTGTCGCGGCTCCACGGCTGGATCGCCTTTTTTCCACAGGCGGTAGTGGCCCCATCCCGGCCAGGTAGGCGGGTCTGAGTAGTCGCCTTTTGACCAGCCGCCCTCGTTCCAGTTGTGGTTCCTCCAGCCGCCCTTGTCGGCGTCCTTCCAGTCGGAGTCCCTGACGCCGTCTCGCTTGGTGTCCTGCTGCTGTCGGCCCCCGGGGCCCCACTTGTTTGTCGTCAGGCTCCGGCTGTCCACTCTTCCATGGATCGCGGCCGTCGCTCCAGGGATCCTGGCCCCTTGAGCTCTCCTGCCGGCCGCCCTTGGTGCCGCCGTAGTCGTCGTCTGCGCCGGCGGCGCTGTTGCTGAGCCCTGGGCCGAAGTTTTTCGCTGCGTCCTTCACGGCCTGCCGGATCAGCTGCTTCAGCTGCTCTGTGACCTGTGGATTCGAGCTCGCCGCGCCTCCGACAGGTGGCGGTGGCGCCGTCCCCTCCCCAGTCCCCTCCGACTGGGCTGAGCGCCCTCCGCCGATGACGGCGTACGTCTCGTTCTTCTCATCTCCTGGGCCAGTGTCGTCTGGCCCTGGCATCAATGCCTGCCGTGAATCGGCGCTCTGTCCAGTCCGGTGAGAGCAGCGCCCGCACAACCGCCCGAGCTGCCCCCGGCACCACCGCTGATCAGCGGTACATGGAGGCGCCCATGCATGCCGCGCCGAACACTGCTCCGCTACCAACTGTGGCAGCAGCAGGATAAGCAGATGCATTTTGGCCTTGAGCCAGAAAGCGGCAACCACAGTACATCCTTCCCTGAAACACGTACGAACAATCCTGGCCTCCCGTGAGCTGGAATGTTGGGCTTCACGGGAAAGAACATTATGCTAAACCTATGTCGATAAAACAGGAGAGTCTCCACACATTGATGATGATGCGGATGACGGTGATGATGATGCGGTGAGAAGATTCAATCTACGATTCGTATTTCCCCCGGTGATAATGAAGATCGGCCCCGCCAGTCCCCACCGCCGACCAAAAATGTATTGGCCGGAGATAATCAACACTCAGGTCTTAGGGGAGGATGCTTCATTATCTGGCGCATGCGGTTAAGCGACCGCCGGCAACCCGAAAAGGAGTCGCTGCAGGAGTCCTGGCAGGCGAAGGAAAAGACAAGGGAGGCGCATGAGTGCACCCTGGCCGAAAACGTCAAAGAACGACGGCGGAACCGACACACGCACGAAGCAGTGGGAAGTCTGGAACACTCGGACAAATAGCCTGGAAATCGGCCACACGCACGGGTGGCCCTAGATTGACCTCCGGTGCGCGGCGCTGAAGGGGCCGCGGGAAGGCCGAATCCAAATGGTCAGGCCAGCGCTAAGATGCAAGGGCGACACGTGTGGGCCCGCACCAAAAATCCGTCTGGCGAAGGGCCGCTCATACTCGTGACCGGGGGGGGGAAGATCAGGGGGCCGGAACTCCAGCCTCCAGCATACCTTTGCATCGGCAGCCGTTCGCTCTGCGCCGCTGCGGTAAGCAGCCCGAGCCCACCCAGCGGGGCACCCAGGGCGCGGAGGAGAGAACAGGGGACCGCGGCCGCAGCTGAAAGCGGCGGACGGACAGCGGGGAGAGAGCACTTACGCCGCAACACCCACACACACATTTTCTCCCCTGCCAGCGATGCAACACTGCAGCCGCGGTGAACAATGATGGGCCCCATTGGTGTTGGTTGCATTCAGCTTTGTGGGTGAGGCCAATTTGCTTAGAGAGCGGCAGGACGAGAAACCCGTCCAAAACGAGCAGGGAGAACACACACACACACACACACAAGTGCCCTCTCAGTCGACCCAGGATCCTGGCCTCGTGAGGCTATCACAGCGTGGGCGTCTGGAACTCTCGCCCCCTCCCCCCCTCCCCACGACCGACTTGTTTACGCCGGCGGGCCGCTTTCTGACGGACCTCCAGGGCCGGAAGCGGTGCCCGAAGCCGGCCGAGGCCAAGGAAAGAACGCCCGCCGTCGCTTTGCTACTTTCCGAAGCGCTAGACAGGAACGCGGCTGGCACGCCCGCCCCGCACCGCCCCCCGGGGCTCCCTTCGGAGACCGCTCGGCGTCCGAGCCCGCTCGGCCACCTCGGCGGCCGAGCGGGCTGGAGTGCCGCGATCCCGTCGGAACGGAGCCCGTTCGGCTCCCCACTCGGCGGTCGAACAGTAGCCCGCCGTCGCGCGCGCGCGGGGGCGGCGGGCGCCTCCCCAGCCGGCGGGCCAGCGGCGTGGTCCGCGGCGCGCGCCAGCGGCGACGCTGGGGGGAGGAACGAGGGGAGGGAGGGGGGGGGGGAGGAGGAGGAGGAGGAGGATCATAGCAAACCCAAGATGCGCGAAAAATGCCCCAATCCGCAGTACAGCCGGACCTGGGCCAGGATGACATGAGAGCCCTCCGTCGGCCAAAACAAACAGAACATCCAAGGGCGTCCTCCCCAAAATGCAAAAATAACATCCAACACGCACGAAGAACATCAACCAAAGTACCCTCCCCGAACCGGCCTCGACCTTACAACTCGGTCCGACTGTACACCCTCCCGTCGCGGGTCCGGCAACGGGCAACCGCGCGATGTTCTAAACTCGCTATGTTTCCGCATTCAGGATCGACGCTTTCTTTGGTTACCATTTTCTTTCGGGTTTGTGGGATCTGGAGCCGCCGTTTCTTTCAATTACGAGCTCTGTTTTTTCATTCGTTTTCGGTATCAATTTTCTTCCCGTTTTCAGGTCCAGAAACGGACTGCGCCTTGCCGCGCCGTTTTTGTTGTTGTTGTTGGTGGTGGTGTTGGTGTTGGTGTTGGTGTTTCTGTTGCTGTTTCTGTTGCTGTTGCTGTTGTTGTTGTTGTTGCTGTTGTTGTTGTTAGTGACTTCTCATTTCTGAAGAATCATTATTGTTGATCCCCCCGCCGGTGCATACTGTTTTTTCTCAGTCAAAGTGTGCCCCTCGACGCTCGCACCCTGTGTTTTGACAAGGAAAATCTTCCTGGTCAAACTGGGCCCATGGGCCCCCGGGTTACAACAACAACAACGGCTCCCGCCTGAGACTTCCTTACAGTTTAGCCAGGACCCCAGCTCCTGTTCGAGACTTCCTCGCATGTTATTCAGGAATCGCGTTTTCGCTTGGGACTTCTTTACTATTTATTCAAGAGTCGCCTTCCCGGCGCTCTGGAGTCGCGCTCTCGCTGGAGACTTGCTTGCAACTTACTGAAGAATGGCCTTGCGTTGGAATTTCCTGCAATTTCCCCAAGCGCCGCGCTCCCGAAACCCAGGCACCCAGGAGTCGCGCCCTTTGTGGCCCCATGTGCATGCCCTTCGTGGCCCCGCTGTCGCCATTTGTGTCCCCCTCACTGTCCTACGTGGCAAGTTGCTACCCTCAGTGGCCCCATAGTTGCCTTCTGTGGCCCCGCATTATCTGCACTTCGTGGCCCCCGTTCGTTCGAGCTCACGCATTCCCTTTGTGTCCCCGCTGTCGCCCTTCGTGGCCTACTTCGTGCCCTTCGTGGCCCTGCTGTAGTTCTCTCTCGCTCTCGCTTTCGCTCGTCGTCGCCGCCGTCGTCGTCGCCGTCGTCTTCGGCGTCGTCGTCGTCGTCGTCGTCGTCGTCGTCGTCATGGTCGGTCCCCTGTCCATCCCTCTTCGGGTCGGGTCGACGGTCCGCGGCCGCCCCGCCGATCAGCGCTGCCGTTGGCCAGGCCGACGGTCCGCGGCCGCCCCGCCGCCTGCCGGGGCCCGGCCTGCAGGGAAGAAAGGTATACCTCCCAAAAGGGGATCGATCGAAGACGAAGACAGCGGGTATCGAGGGTTTGGGAAATACGCGTTATTGGACACTCGAGCATGTAAGGGCGAACAGTCTTAAATTGGTTGGTGTTGTTGCTGCTGCTGCTGCTGCTGCTGTTGTTGTTGTTGTTGAACATTATTACTTCTAAAGAATAATTATTGTTGGGGCCCCTGGTGCACGGCCCCCTCGCCGCGCCTAGGCCGCAGCCATGTTTTCATCATTTTCGTGAGGAAGTCTCCGGCAAAACGGGTTGGTCCGGATCCGGTTGTTTTGTTGTAATCCGCTTTCCCTTGCAAAAAACAATATAAAATGACATTTCTTGTTCTAACATAACCAAACTTTCAAGAATCCCTTGCAAAAAATAGGGTAAAGTGGACATTCGCGCGCGCAAGACGAAATCCTTCCAAAACCTTAGTGTTCGTAGCGATTTTGACATAAAAACATAAAAAAAACAATGGCTTTTCAAAAACAAAGTGTCAAAATTTCATCCCGCGCGCTCTTGCGGATTTGTAGGAAACCCAACACTTTTTAAACATTTCTGTCAAACGGGCTTTTGCGAGCAACTTTTTCACGTGCTTCGAACTTCTCCAACAACGGTTGCGCACCTGCCAGGGCCATCATCCCTGTCAAATAATACCATGCGGGACACATTCGTTTTTTCTTCGCGCGCGCACGCCGAAATCTTCAAAAACCATTGGGTTTCTTAAGGATTTTAGCACCGCGCAACATAAAATCATACGAATCGCACCGTACAGGTGTCCAGTGTTGGAACAGGGGGAAAAGTCGTATACTAAGCTAGCGTCCAGAAGAATGTTACCACAACAAGTCACTGTACCCATGCGCCAGTGTAGTAGCCACGGTCGTCCGCAGGCCACGAAGTGAAGTGTCCGAACGTCATAGGGCGGGAAGCTGGGTGTGGGTGGTGGCGAAGAGTCGTTTGGAAATGTGGTAGAGCTTGAACCGGCCCCCCCACAAAGTGGGGGTATTGGCGGGCGTCGTATGAAAACCCTGGCACTGGTGAGAACGGAGTGTCCCCACGTGCTAGTAATTGTTGTTGTTGTGTTGAACATTATTTATTCTAAAGAATAATTATTGTTGGGCCCCCTGGTGCGCGCCCCCCCTGCGCCGCCTAGGCCGCAGCTACATTTTCATCATTTTCGTGAGGAAGCCTCAGAAAAGAGGGTGTGTACAGGATCCGGTTGTTTTGTTGTAATCCGCTTTCCCTTGCAAAAAACAATAGAAAATGACATTTCTTGTTCTAATATAATCAAATTTCAAGAATCCCTTGCAAAAAATAAGGTAAAGTGGACATTCGCGCGCGCAAGACGAAATCCTTCCAAAACCTTAGTGTTCGCAGCGATTTTAACATAAAAACATCAAAAAACCAATGGTTTTTCAACAAAAAAATGTCAAAATCTCATCCCGCGCGCTCTTGCGGATTCGTAGGAAACCCAACACTTTTTAAACATTTCTGTCAAACGGGCTTTTGCGAGCAACTTTTTCGAACTTCTGCGACAACGGTTGCGCACCTGCCAGGGCCATCATCCCTGTCAAATAATACCATGCGGGACACATTCGTTTTTTCTTCGCGCGCGCACGCCGTCGTCGTCGGCCGCGGGGCCCTGAATAGTAGCCACGGTCGTCCGCATGCCACGAAGTGAAGTGTCCGAACGTCATAGGGCGGGAAGCTGGGTGTGGGTGGTGGCGAAGAGTCGTTTGGAAATTTGGTAGAGCTTGAACCGGCCCCCCCACAAAGTGGGGGTATTGCCCGCCTCCTATGAAAACCCTGGCACTGGTGAGAACGGAGTGTCCCCACGTGCTAGTAAGTGTTGTTGTTGTTGTTGTTGTTGTTGTTGTTGTTGTTGTGTGTTTTGTGTTGTTGCTTTGTTTTCTCGTTTTACAGCTTTTGACGCGTGTTCAATGCGCTTTCAACTCACCCACAAGCGCCGATCATGTTTGAACCGTTTCGACGCTGCGTTCTCCCACGTTTTGGCACTCCGCTTTCTGTTCGCTTTCAGCTCGATCACGAATCGTTTCGAAATCCGTTAGGGAACCGAACTATATACACCGACGCCTCTGTCTGGCCTCACACTGAATCTCGCACAAAGAAGCGGATCCTGGTGTATACGGGACCCTGATCTACATTCTTCGTTGTTTCCCCAAGGAAAGGGGGGGAACAACTATACACCACACCATCCCGACGTCGCCCCCGACCCACAAGAAAGTCCTAGGATTGAGAAACCGCCCGCCACTGGTAATGTATATGCTCCAATTTCCGATTTGTGCTACAATGCTGTTTCCGTCTTGGTCGACCGCAACCAGAAAAAAATGAAAACGCTAGAAAACGCGACCAACCGCTTTTGAGAACGGCTGGGCCGACAGGCGCCAGGCCGCGAGCGGCGTCAGATACCCTGGCTCCCGCACACCACAAAGGACGCACGCGCCAAGCTATACCTTCTCGCCATCTTGATTTCAGGTCGAACGGAGCATTTTGAAGGACAAAATCTAATAAGGCGGGTACTCGCCCTGAGACCACATGTTGTACGTGCGGTCGGTTTTATCGACTGAATCTCGAGATTTAGAGCAGCTGCAGAAGTTTCATGTGTACCAATTGCTTGAGCGGCCTCCCAGTCCGCGAACAGGCCTCGAGGTACGAACGCTCGCGCTACGTCCAATCTCGACCCCCCCCCCCGCGAACTCGTGTACGCGTGCGTCCTTTTATCGATCCTGCGTCGAGCAGGCAGCCCTAGCGCGACGGAGGCACTGAGGGGGGCCTCCCAGCAACGCTCTCGCGGTGGCGCGAGCGAGGACGCACGAGCATGCGGGACCGAGGAGGAGCAGCGGGTTCGGGTTCGCGCTCAGCGGGCAGGGGGGGCGGGGGAGGCCCTGAGATCTGCTGCTGATGTGCACGCGGGGGGCGCGCGTGCTCATCCCCCCGCTCCTCCATCGCCGCCTCCGTTTCTGTTCCCTCCCTACCCCCTCTCGATGATCCTGCGAGCGCGTGGCAGTGCCAGTGTGTGCCTGTCCGTCGAGCATCTTCAATAACTATGCCGCAGGCTGTGCCAGAAGGGCAAATAGGCCGCGCGCCATGGGTGGAGCCGAACAGGGTCAACAAACATTGGGCCGCCACACGTCCTGAGGTTCATCGACCATCCCGCGGACCCTGGGCTTCTTTCTAGCGGTGCTGCACCCCATGGACGATCGGACGTCGGCCGGCCAAGCTGTCGGCGCCGATTTCCCCTGGCGCCCGAAGCCGGCCGATCCGCCCGCGCTGTCCCCAGGAGGGGGCGCGTCGCGCGGAAGCCAGAAGCCGTGCACGACCACGGAGCCCTCGCCAGGCCCATCCTGGGCCCGAGGCTGGTGCACAGGCCCGCCTGTCCCAGACCAGGGCGGCCTTCGCGCTGAGGCGCACGCCCCAACATGGGCCCGGACAGGGCCTCGTGGTGTGCCGTGCCTCCGGCAACCGCTGCGTGGTCCCCCGAGGCTGCCGCTCCCGCAGATCCCCGCTGCCGTTAGTTCTTGGCCGCCCTGCCTCATCCTCCTCCTGCTCCAGCTCCAGCTCCTGTTAATTTTCTTCCCCTTGTGAAGAACTGCTCCCTGTCGCACCCCGAGGCCAGTCGAAAGGGTGGGCCGGGCGTTTCGCCCGAGACTTCGCTACCACTTATGAGCCTGAAGCTTTGAAACTGACCACAGATTCACAGGTGGAGGGCGGGTCGCTTCCAACATGTGGTTCTCGCTTTTTGCACAGCGCACACTCGTCTTAAAGATTTGCAAAGGCTTCACGGATTAGAGATACATTGTTTTTAATGTGACTCTCGCCTGAACGCCGCGCACTTGCGTCGTACACATTTGCACAAGGTGTCATAGGTTGAGGGCGGTTCCTCTTCAAAATATGGCTCTCGCTTGAGCGCCGCGCAAATTCGTTTCAACAAATTGTGAGAGCTTCACGTGTCGTCCTGGTCACCTTCCAGAAATGATGTTTTAAAACGATTCAGGACCGTCAGGGCGCAACACTTCCTTGAACTCGCGGTGCTGAAGTCCCAGGATCGGTGTTCTGGCACGATTCAGGATTGTCAAGACGCAGCAGCAGGTTGACTCGTGCCGTTGAAGTCTTGAGAGCAATGTTCTGGCACGCGTCAAAATTTGCACACCGTTGCCCCGCAAGGGCGCACTTCCGTCAATGGAAAACGAACCCTTGTAGGAACCACCCCTTCTGGTTGCTTGGTCGTGCCGTGCCTGGTGTCGATTTTGGTGGCGTACTTGGTGCCGTACTGGGGGTGGCTCTCGTCCTCCTGCTGCCTGTTGAGCAGCTCATTCTCATACTTGGGCTGCCTCTTACGCAGCTCGCGTACTTGGGCTATCTGCTACGCAGCCCGTAACTGGACAACTGGGCGCCCTCGCCAAAGCGGCCATAACAATGAATTATCCCAGCGAAGGACCCAACCATAAGCAATTGTTCGTAACGCGTTGTGGGTGCCGCTTTCGGTGGGGCTCCCTATGGGGCCACGAAACGCTGCCCAGGGTGGGGGAAACGCATGCGAGATCAGCCACTTGGGCCTTCGGTAGAGCTCCCTATGGGGCCACGAAACACTGCCCAGGGCGGGGGAAACGCATGCGAGAGCAGCCACTGGGGCCTTCGGTGGAGCTCCCTATGGGGCCACGAAGCGCTGCCCTGGGTGGGGGAACCGCATGCGAACTGCGCCACGGGGGCCTTCGGTGGAGCTCCCTATGGGGCCACGAAGCGCTGCCCTGGGCGGGGGAACCGCATGCGAGAGCAGCCACTGGGGCCTTCGGTGGAGCTCCCTATGGGGCCACGAAGCTTGCCCAGGGTCGGGGAACCGCAAGCGAGAGCAACCACTGGGGCCTTCGGTGGAGCTCCCTGGGAAACGCATGCGAGAGCCCCACTGGGCCTTCGGTGGGCTCCTATGGGGCCACGAAGCGCTGCCCAGGGTGGGGGAAACGCATGCGAGAGCAACCACTGGGGCCTTCGGTGGAGCTCCCTATGGGGCCACGAAGCGCTGCCCATGGGTGGGGCGAAACGCATGCGAGAGGCAACCACTGGGGCCTTCGGTGGAGCTCCCTATGGGGCCACGAAACGCTGCCCAGGGCGGGGGAAACGCATGCGAGAGCAGCCACTGGGGCCTTCGCTGGAGCTGGGGCCACGAAGCGCTGCCCAGGGTGGGGGAAACGCATGCGAAAGCAGCCACCGGGGCCTTCGGTGGAGCTCCCTATGGGGCCACGAAGCGCTACCCAGGGCGCGGGAAACGCATGCGAGAGCAGCCACTGGGGCCTTCGGTGGAGCTCCCTATGGGGCCACGAAACGCTGCCCAGGGTGGGGGAAACGCATGCGGAAGAGCAACCACTTGGGCTTCGGTGAGCTCCCTATGGGGCCACGAAGCGCTGCCCAGGGTTGGGGAAACGCATGCGAGAGCAACCGCTGGGGCCTTCGGTGGAGCTCCCTGTGGGGCCACGAAGCGCTGCCCAGGGTTGGGGAAACGCATGCGAGCGCAACCACTGGGGCCTTCGGTGGAGTTCCCTATGGGGCCACGAAGCGCTGCCCAGGGCGGGGGGAACGCATGCGAGAGCAACCGCTGGGGCCTTCGGTGGAGATCCCTATGGGGCAACGGAGCGCTGCCCAGGGTGGGGGAAACGCATGCGAGAGCAACCACTGGGGCCTTCGGTGGAGCTCCCTATGGGGCCACGAAGCGCTGCCCAGGGTGGGGGAAACGCATGCGAGAGCAGCCACTGGGGCCTTCGGTGGAGCTCCCCATGGGGCCACGAAGCGCTGCCCTGGGTGGGGGAACCGCATGCGAGGGCAGCCACTGGGGCCTCCGGTGGAGCTCCCTATGGGGCCACGAAGCGCTGCCCTGGGTGGGGGAACCGCATGCGAACTGCGCCACGGGGGCCTTCGGTGGAGCTCCCTATGGGGCCACGAAACGCTGCCCAGGGTCGGGGAACCGCAAGCGAGAGCAGCCACTGGGGCCTTCGGTGGAGCTCCCTATGGGGCCACGAAGCGCTGCCCAGGGCGGGGGAAACGCATGCGAGAGCAGCCACTGGGGCGTTCGGTGGAGCTTCCTATGGGGCCACGAAGCGCTGCCCAGGGCGGGGGAAACGCATGCGAGAGCAGCCGCTGGGGCTTTCGGCGGAGCTCCCTATGGGGCCACGAAACGTTCCCCAGGGTGGGGGAAACGCATGCGAGAGCAACCACTGGGGCCTTCGGTGGAGCTCCCTATGGGGCTATGAAGCGTGTGAGGGGTGTGCGGAGAGCAAGTGCAAGGAGGGGGAGGAGGGATGAGGGGGAGGAGGAAGGAGGGGAGACGCGGGGCACCGTCTCTTCAAAACGAGGACCCAACACCACAGGATGGTTGGGAAAAACAGATTTCGTTTTTGGGCCGCGTTTGCTCGTGCCCGTGGACCCCGCATGTGGGCTCGCGACTCCTTCTCCTGCTCCTCCTCCTCCTCCGCCTGCTACCGCGTCTGTCCCTCCTCCATCCTTCCCCCTCTCCTCCCCGCCCATCTTTCTCCTCCGTCCTCCGTCCCCCATGTTCCCGCTCCCATCGCCAGTCCTCCCTCCGCCCCCCTCCGTGCCCAGGCGTGGTTCGAGCGGTTGTGCCCAACTGATGCCGTACGACTCCCTGACGCGCCGCCGTTCGGTCGCCCCCCGGGCGCCATGACGTCGGCAACCCCTCAACCTGCCTCCTTCACAAGGCGGCCTCGACCTGAGGCCTCTTGCAAAAGGACCCAGCGCAAGCAACGGGCAGGCGCCCGCGTATTTCTCAGGCTGGACAGCCCCGAAGAGGGCGACGTCTCCTGACTGCTTCCTTCTATGCACCGAGGCTTCCTCCCGACTTTTTCCCTCCGCCAATTTCTGAGTCTTCGCATGCTGGCAAGTCGGCCTTTGGCAAAAGTGCTCACCAACAGGCGGACCTCAAGATAGATGGTGGTGCTTGCATTGCCACATAATGTGCACTGCGAGCGACAACTCTTGCCCCAACTGCTTCCCTGCTGAAGGGAACCCATTGGCAGGTACAGAGTTCTCCTCGCCGCTGGGCAAGAAAGATCCCCCTAAAGGGAAAGGCACTGCCAAAGGTGCACATCCTCTGCCCAGTTCCCCCTCAGCACCTGGCACAGGACTTCCCAACATGGACACGGTCGCTGCATGGGCAGCGCATGATGGACTCCTCGCACTTCCTCCTGCCTCTCCTCATGGATTATCTCCCTCGGGTGTTAGTGCCGAAGCGACTGGAGCAGAAACTTCCAAGGGTCGCCTGCGCAGATCAAGTCAACATGCGCCCCCAACCAAATCCTCGGACTCCGCTCAACATGCGCCGCCAACACTCATCGAACGATGCTTCGTCGATGGCGCCAATTTTGGCCACCTCAGGCACTCCGGCTCAGCCGACACGACGGGCAAAAGGAAGCCCCAACAGTCAACCCTCACCCAGTACTTTTGTTCATTACCTTTTTCTCCAGGCCCGTATGTGGCACAAGGCAAGGCACATTAAAACTTTAAGGATCCCATCCAACATATGTTTTCTCTTTTTCTGCGGCATGGCTAGCAATAGGTTCTCCTTTAATCGTTCAGAATGAGGAGCCCCATGAGACATCGTTCCCCGGTCAGATCATCACTCCTTCCCCTCTCTTTGGGCCAGATGCTTCTCCTTACTTTGGGAACGTCGAACTCCCAGGTATGCTCCCGATGGGACCAACAAGTCACGCACGTGGCACCTGCCTGTGGGTATCCCATTCGGTAGAGGGTCCTCACTGCTTGCTCCACGCATAGGCACAAGAGCCTCCAAATTCTTCACCCTGTTTTAGACTACCTTCCTTCTCGCCCATCCTTTACTTGAAGATTCGCTGCCCCACCTCCTGTTTCCCCCAATGCGAAGACGCTAGGGGAGCGCCCGTTTGCAACCCCTGTTTGGCGTGGCACTGGGACGGCATGCCCAGGGTCCAGGGTCCCCTCCCCTCGTATTTCCTTCCCCTCTCGATCTCCCTGGGAATGTCACGTCCGCCCACTTTCCAAGTCATGGGTGGATGTGGGACTCGGCCTGGGAAAGCTAGCACGACTTGCAGGTCTCTAGCGCTGACAGCAAATCTCGAGCTGCTAAAGGGGATCCCCTTTCCCCTTTTGGAATGCCTCCCCTCATCTCTGCATGTCCTTCCCCTCTTCTCGCTGTCACCACAGATCTGGGAGAGTCCCCAAGGTCTCAATCTGCGAGGTGCTGTTCTCGAACGGCTCCGTTCTAGTCGGGCGGACACCTGCGGGCGGATTGGCCCCACACGACGCATGCCGTTGGCGCAAGCTCGCTGCAATCCCGAAACCATTTCTCCTTCTTCTCCTCCGTCACCCTTGCTCCGTCCCCTCCCCCGCCGCGCGAGCGCAGGCCTCCGCCGGTCAGGCGGCTGGGCGAGGCGACAGCTGGGCGGCACCCGGAGGGAGGGGATGATGTTTCGCGCTCGCGAGAGGAAGGGATGGGGAGAGGGGCAGGGGGGAAGGAGAAGGAGGAGGAGCAGAAGGGGGAGGAAGGACTGGTAGTAGCAACTGAAGAGGGGGGATTTCGGAGGAGGGGCAGGAGAGGATGATGAGGAAGAGGAAGAGGAGCCCGAATGAGCAACATGTCGAGCGTGCAGGGAAGGATAGAGGGAGGACATGGGGAAAGGCGACGAAAGGAGGAGGAGGAGGAGGAGGAGGAGGAAGAGGAGGTGTGAGGAAAATGTGAATGAGCAGGGAGAGGCGGGAGGAAGGGAGCAATTGTAAATTGGCCCCGTGCGCGTCCACCTAAGGGACAGAGGGCCCAGGCAGAAAGGACAAAGGCTCAGGCAGGAAGGAAATCAGGCGGCCACCAGCGACGACAATAACGACAACAACGACGACGACGACGACGACGACAACAACACCAATAACAGCAACAGCAACAGCAACAGCAGCAGCAGCAACAACAACAACAGCAACATCATCAACAACAGCAACATCATTAACAACACTTGCCCCAGTGCGACCCTACCTAGAAGTTGGAGCCCCTAGGAAAGCAGCATGAGTTGCTATGCTATGCTATGCTATGCTAAGCTGCGCTATGCTATGATATGCTATGCTATGCTAAGCTATACTATGCTGCGCTGTGCTATGCTGTGCTGTGCTGTGCTGCGCTATGCTATGCTCTGCTCTGCTCTGCTATGCTGCGCTATGTTATGCTATGCTGGGCTATATTATGATATGATGTGCTGCGCTATGCTATGCTACGCTCTGACATGCTATGCTGTGACCTGCTATGCTAAAGCTCAGCGAAGCTAAGATGAAGGTAAGCTAAGCAAACATACACCTGAGCTAAGATGAAGCTAAGCTAAGCTAAGATGAAATAAGCTAAGCTAAGGTGAGACAAGCAACGCTAAACTAAGAAAAAAAATAGTATAAAATAAAATAAAAAAAGTTAATAAGAAATTAAAAAAAAAAAAAAAAGAAAAAAACCGAAAAAGACAAACCAAGCACAACAGCACTAACACCACACACACAAATTCAAACAAACTCCCCCACCCCCCCCCATCGCGACTCCCCCCCCTCCCCCCACCCCCCCGCCCCCCCCCCCCACACACCCCCCCCCCCTCCCACCCCCCCCCAACCACGCCTACCCCCCAACAACCCACCCCCACCCCCCACCCTATTCCCCACCCCCCCCCCTTACACCACCCCTCCCCCTCAACCACGGCACCACACTACTCCCACTCCCCCCACCTCCAACCCCCCCCCCTCGCCCCCCCCCCTCCGACCACCCTCACCTGTCCCATGAGGCCCCTCCCTGGACCTCAGCCGTCCCCGTCCCTCGTGTCGAACACACCCCATCCCTGACTCCCTATACACGCCCCAGTACTCGATACAGCCCCCAACACGTCCACGCCACTCTGTCCCACCCCCCCCCATCAACCCCCCCCCACAAGCACAACCCCCACCTCAACAACACCAACACCAACCCAACCCACCTACCCCCAACAACAACAACCACAATACCCCCACCCCCCTCCGCACCCACCACCCCCAGCCCAAGCACCCCCCCCACCCCCACCCACCCCAACCCCCCCCAACACCAACATCACCAACAACAACAACAACAACAACAACAACACCGCCACCAGCACCAACACCAAAACCAACACCACCAACAACACCAGCAACACCAACAACACCAACAACACCACCACCACCAACAACAACAACAACCGACGACGACGACGTTGAAGACGACGGACGAGAAAAGGCGACGACGACAGCGTCACGACAAGAGGTGGCGCGATGGGGAGAAGGACGAACGGCGGCGGGAGGGAGCGGAAGCACGAGAGCCAGGTGGAGAGCAGGAGGGGACGGGGTAGGTCAGGGCGGGGCGTAAGATGAGCGACGAAAATAAACGGGCCTTACGCGATATGACGTAGCGACCTTACGCGGTAGCTTACGCGGGCCGGAGGGGGGGGGAGGATGAGGAAGCACCTGGGGGGGGGAGGAATTTACAGGAGAGTCAGGAAGGAGGGGGAAGAACGTTCGCGGGTGAAAAATTCCCAAAGAGCTGCCTCTCACATGGAATTGTCCGGTGCGCCCGCGCGGACAGCTGGGTAACGCATCCGGCGCGGCCAAAACGGGGCGCCTGGGAAGCCCCAGGGAGATCTCGAGCCCCAACTGGGCGACGCGCCGCGCCAACCAGGGAGGGGGGGGGAAAAAGGCGTCACCAGCGTAGACCCTTCGGCCCGCCGACGGGGCGCAACCGTTTCAATCGGCAGCCAGCCAGGGGGGAAACGAGAAGGGGCGAGCCTTCCTAGAAGGCTCGGAAGTCCCCCGGCCTTCTGAGAAGTTGTCTAAGCCTTCCCCGAAAACACAGAACAATTCTCTGAAGGCGCGATGGCTTCTGAGAAGTCCCGCCGCCTTCTGAGAAGGCCTTCTCCTTTTCATGTCCCCCCCTCGCTCGCCGCTGAGCCAAGCGCCCGCGGACCACCGCTGTGCCACCGTGCGACCCTCGCGGGAGAGAAGACCGAGAACCCTGAAAGGTCTTTGGAACACGCCCCCAATATGGGGTAGCTGATACTTTGTTCGGCGGGCGGCCTCAGAGTCCAAATAATATAGGGGATGACTCCTTCTTTTTTCCGCGGCACCCGCGGAGGAGGAGGAGGACGAGGAGGAAGAGGAGGAGGAGGGAGGAAGAGGAGGAGGAGGAGGAGGAGGAGGAGGAGGAGGAGGAGGAGGAGAAGGGGGTTCAGGACCAGCCATATTCAGCGCCGAGAGAAACCGGGGGGGACCAAAGCTAAATACCTTTAGCGGTTATCTGGTGTTTGGTCTCGGTTCCTGGCGGGAAGAATGCCTGCCCGAAACGACGATTCGCCGAATCCAGCCACGGCGACAACGACGCAGCCTGCGCAAAAGATTCCTCCCCGCGGGCCGAAGATCAGGGACGCAGAACATTCACGATTGGTTGCCTCGCCCCTGGGGGTGGCCCAGCGCGCCAGCGCGGACCCTTGGGCAACGCGCTCGGCGCGGCCAGAAAGGGGTGCTCAACAGGCCCCCGAAAGACCTCGGGACCTAATGCTGAATCTCAAGGCGACTCGGGCCGCAGCCCGCTGCTGGCGACGTGGCCGCAGCCGCTCAACAGCCGCCGACACTGAGGAGGCGAAACCGGCGACGGGGATGGCGCTGGCGCAGCCTGAAAAGGTACACGGGGCGCAAGCAACATAGAATTTTCTGTAACATTGAACTTTCCGTCTTGGCCCAGGCTAGAGCGCGTGCGGCTACGAGAACTCAACGAACCACTCTGCCGCCGAAGCCGCGTCCCGCGACGCCGCGGAGGCGTAGCCGAAGGAGGCCGCCCAGCGCCAGCCCTTGCTGTAGAGCAATGGTGGGGCGCCCCCGTCCGTCAGGACTTCGTCGCCCCAGCAACGTCAGAAAGCGTGCCTGCCCCGCTCGGCGGCTCGCTGGTGCCCTCAAGCAACGCCGCCGCCTTCAACCCAACCGGGTCAAAGCGCGTCTGTTCGACAGCGCTGGGAAGGCCCGGCCTGTCCGAATGCGACGCTGCAGAACATGCGCTCCACGCAGATGCTGGGGGTGCAAGGCGCAGATGCACCCCCCCAACACCACCACCGCGTCTGTGAATATGTTGCGTTAGAGTTTTTTTTGGGGGGGGGGCAACGCCCGTTACAGGGGGGGGGGGTCCGGCCCCAAGTTGGGCGTAACGGTGACGCGCGGCGGGGCCCTCGCACGGGCCCTGGTACTTATTATCAGCGCAACAGTCGGCACAGTAGGTTTCATCGTCGTCGTCGTCGTCGCCGCTGTCGTCGTCATCGAAGCCGACCGTGCCTGTGCACACGTACGCAGGCTGCACACCGCGATGCCCTTGTACACCACAACTGCGGCAGACATGGTGTGTGTGTGCACCACGGCGACTGAGCACATCATGACAGGCGGGTGCACCACAGCGTCCTTGTACATCTCACTGTTGGTGCACACCACGGCGCCCGCGTGCACCACAGCTGCTGTTTCAACGCCCCGTGTTTGCACCAGAATGCCAGCGTACACCACAAAGCTTGTGTACACCTGTAAGGCACCGGCGAAACGAAAGTCCAGAAGATCGCTCGGGGCCCAAGCGTGGCCCTTTCATTATGTGAGCTGCTTGTGGATCTTAGTTTTTCTGGTTCAAAAAGCGCTCGGACCTGTTGAGCCCACAGCGCCTGTGTACTCCATTGCGACTGTGTACATCATGGGAGTGTGAACCGTGGCGCCTGTGTATACCACATGGCACGTGCGCACCACAAAGTTTGTGTACGGTTTTTTTTGTGCGGAGTGTAAACCACGCGCCGTGGGGGCGCGCGGGGCAGCGGCAGCCTAGGGAATATAGGAAACAGGAGCTCCCTGCACAGGCACAAGGCCCTTGAGACATGGGTCGACGGCTGGAACGTGCACGCGGGTGCGTCGTCGTCGTCGCCGTCAGTTGCGACGGCGACCGGGGGGGTTACGGCGGCGGCGGCGGCGACACGGGCGGCGGCGACGGCGACCACGACGACGACGACGACGACGACGGCGGCGGCGACGGCGACGACGCCGACGGCGGCAAGCGGCGGCGGCGGCGGTGAAGGCGACCGCCGCCGCCGTCACCGCCATCGTCGTCGCCACCGATGCCGCCGTCGCCGTCGCCGCCGCCGCCGCCGTGTCCGCAGCCACTTGCCGAAAGCTTCAGCAGCGCTCGGGGCCCACTTGCTGGATACACATGCGGGGCGCTGGCGTGACCAGTCGCGCGAGGTCGGAGGGCCGAGCGCTGGAAGGACATGCGGCCACATCCGCGTGCAGGCCTCGCCCAGTCCAGCCCCTTGCACCAGCACAGGGAAAATGGAGGGAGGACAGTGGTAGTAGTCATAATGATATTGTGAGAGTGCAACGGCTGGTTGCGCCATGGCTTGCCC